GGCGCTGGGCCCCGGGGTCGCGCCAGGCGCTGGAGCCGCGCTCGCGGGCGCCGTCCTTTGTCCGTGGTTTCCCTGACATCCACCGTTCTCTGTTAACTTTTCCAGGATGAATTTCATCCCTTCATCGAAGCACTTCTGCCTCACGTCCGAGCGTTTGCGTACACATGGTTCAACCTGCAAGCCCGAAAAAGAAAATACTTCAAAAAACATGAAAAACGCATGTCAAAAGAGGAAGAGAGAGCCGTGAAGGACGAACTGCTAAGTGAAAAACCCGAGGTAAAGCAAAAATGGGCATCCAGACTTCTGGCCAAGCTGCGGAAAGATATCAGGCCTGAGTTTCGGGAGGATTTTGTTCTCACAGTCACAGGAAAAAAGCCTCCGTGTTGCGTTCTTTCCAATCCAGACCAGAAGGGCAAGATGAGAAGAATTGACTGCCTTCGCCAGGCAGATAAGGTCTGGAGGTTGGACCTTGTTATGGTGATTTTATTTAAAGGTATTCCGCTCGAAAGTACTGATGGCGAGCGCCTTGTAAAGTCCCCACAGTGCTCTAACCCCGGGCTGTGCGTACAGCCGCACCATATAGGAGTTTCTGTTAAGGAACTCGATTTATATTTGGCATACTTTGTGCACGCAGCAGGTAAGTGGATTTCTCCAACGTTCTCCACCTTTCTGTTTGTCTCCAGTGCTCTGTGCTCTCGCTCCCGGGCCGAGGCCGCGTTCGAAGCCGGGAGGGCGCGCGTGCCCCTCAGCAGGTAAAAGCTGATTTTTTTTTTTTTATTTTTTCCCCTTTCCCCCCAACCCCTCCCCCGGTGTCAAAGGCGATTTGGGGTTTTGTGCATCCTTCCTAGGTGTTACCCTAAATATTCTCACAGGAGGTGCCAAAGCCTTAGTACAGCGAGGCTTCCTCTTTTACATATATAGATATATTATATATGTGTACATATATATATTTTTTTAAATAGATTTTGTATATATCATGCAGCAAATAGTGTGAGGGGGCTAGACGTACCCAAGGCCCTGCTGTTAGGAATACCAAGTATGCCCAGTCCTCACTGGTGTCCACGGGAGTGTAACTCTTGCAGGATTAGGCCCAGAGGAAAGGGAAAACGTCCCTCAGTCAGCTAAACATAGCAGTCAAGTATAAAAAGTTGCAAACGGGAGTATCTGCGTAGTCGTACTGAGAAAATAAAGTGAACAGCGTTTAACGAAGACCCTAAGCAGCACAGTTCGTACATGTGGAGTCCAAATCCCTTGTTTGGTCCTGTGGTGCTGCTGGCGGGGCTTGAAGTGTCCCTGTGCGGTTGTGATGCCACTGAAAATCGTGGGACCTCTGACTCCAGCGCAAAGCACGCCCTGCCTGCGGATACGAATGCAGGCGCAGGATACGTAATAGGTTGACGGGATAAAATAATGCGCCATTGTATTTCTTCTGAGTGATTACACTGCAGAAAAAAGAACGCGCGTGCGCGTGAAGCCTTGGGCCCAAGTTTTCGTGTGGACGTGCACAAGCGTCTGCCTGGATTTCGGTCTCACTTGTAACTTCAGGGGTTGGGCAAGGGGAAGAAAGAGAAGCAAAGGGAAGAGAGTGGAGTCACATTTGTCGAAACCGCGTGTCTGTAGAGAGAGAAGAAATCTGAGCGAGTTAGGGCAGTGGGAGCCTGCGCCTCTGACGGCACGTTGTTTTGGAGGGCACTAGGGAAAGCGCGGACTCGCTGAAAGTTTTCTGCACTAAATCCATTGAGTATTTATTGTGCTACGTAGTGTCACTGCTGTAATTTTATTGATACAGCCTGTGTTTAGAAAGGACTTTTGGATATCAGCGTGGTATTTTACACAGATAAGCTGTGAAATTTACTTTGCAATTGGGTGTGATGTGGTAAATCATATTGCACATTTCTGGCGAGGGGAATGTCGGCAAATATTGCGGAAAGTGATTTATTTACTCTGCGATTTATTGCGTGGTATGGCGAAATGAGGATTACCGATTTACGGCTAAGCGGAGGGAGCCGGGGCGAGGGCTGGGGCGGCGCGGGGTCGGCTCCCG